CACACACACAACACACACACATGCATGAAATATGAACCCCAAACAAACAGCAACGAAAAGAGACAGAGATAGCGGAGAGACTGCATGTAGTTTAAGGTTTGGGGTTTATAGGGTTTATAGGGTTTAGGGTTTTGGGTTGTCCCGCCTTGGCCTTGGCTTTGGCCTTCGCTTTTCCTTTGTTCTTGCCCTTGCCCTTGCTTTTACCGCCGGCAGCGGGTGGCACTGGATCATCGCCGTCCGGTACGCTGCGATCATTCAATCTTTGTCCGAGGACTTGTAGCAGCTGTCTGAGATTCTCCTAGCTGCAATCCATGGTGGCAGCCTGTCGCAGCAAGTCATCCGCGGATGACAGGCGTCGAATCTTTGCAGGTGGATCAGAGCGCTGGCTGGCACTGTCTCCGGCATCAGAAAAGTCCTGCAGGTATTAGGTTTAATAATTTAGGGTCTATAGGGTGTATATATAGGGTACGGGTTTAGGACATCTAAAACATTAACAAGGACCTATGCAGCATGCATCATAAAAGAATTCCTATATACATTCAGGATGTCCTGGGTATCCTGGGACTGCACCGATATCGTCGCAGTCTCCTGCGGATCTGGGTCCTGCAACATCCACATTGACATGTGTGCAAGAGAGAGAGAGAGAGAGAGAGAGAGAGAGAGAGAGAGAGAGAGAGAGAGAGAGAGAGCAGTGTCTATACATATATGATGGACGGGCCTGCATCAGTTCATCATCGTCGCTGATGTGCTCATCATCATCATCATCCTTCATTGTCGTCAAAGCCCTGGACAAAGAAGCCGCCGAGTGGCGTCGTCTCGTCGCCTCCACAGCATCATCCAGCTTGAGCCGCTTGGTCGGCTGGGAAGACCCAGCAGCCACAGCAAAGGCACTTGCCGCCTGAGGCTCCAATTCCTGTCGAACAATTGATATAAAATATATTTGATGCGTGTATACGTGCAACAAACACATTTGCATGCATTGATCAAACAGCCAGCAAAATTAACCCATGCACGGCCTGAAGCACAGGCTCGAAGCTAGCACTCGAACCCGAGAAGGCCGAAGTCGACAGGGCTTTGATGGAATGTCGCAGAATCGGAGGAGGGACCGGAGTTGTTGCTGGTGGCACTGCTTGAGGCGGCACACACAGTTCAGGGGCTGTCGGCACTGTTCCTAGCGGCACACTCGCTGCTTCCACGGGTGGTACACAGGGTCCAGCTCGAGCTGCGGCTTCCTCCTGGGCAAGCTGCCACTTAGTCTTTTTATTTGGATCTCTTACCCCAGGACCCACCATGATTGGCGAGCCGAATAAGCTCCGTGGCAGCACAACCGGTTCGAGGGTTGTCGGCACAGCTGTCGGCACTGCTTGCGGTGGCTCAGCAGGGGCTGTTGGCACTGCTTGCACGGGCGGCACTGGTGCAGGTACAGGAGCTGTCGGCACTGCAGCTTGCACGGCCACGGCGGCCGGTGGCACAAACGGTCCAGGGGCTGTCGGCACTGCTTGCGGTGGCACACACGGATCAGGGGCTGTCGCGGCACACGCGGTCCAGGGGCCGCGGGGGAACACACCAACTGGAAGCTTTGGACGCTGCTGGCGGCACTGCTTGCGGGGGAACACACGGTCCAGGCTGTGAGGGCACTGCACACGGTCCAGGCACTGCTTGCGGGGGGGAACACACGGTCCAGGGCCTGTCGGTACTGCTTGCTGCTGCTGCTGCAGGGGAACACACGGATGAGCTTGCGGTGGCACACACGGTCCGGGGGCTCTCGGTGCCGCTGGCACTGCTTTCACCTGAAAAACACTGTGTCCAGGGGCTGTCGGCACTGCTTGCGGTGGCACGCACGGTGCAGGGGCTGTCGGCACTGCTTGTGGGGGAGCACACGGCCCAGGCGGTAGGGGTGTCGGCACTGCTGGT